CGCCTTCCTCTTTAGTTCCCCCCTTCCAACGCCACCTGTTCCTCTACCCAAATTACCACTTCCATGTGGAGCTCCACGGGGTGTTGTAACTGAACTTGTACTAGGACGTCTTGTGCGACCTCTAGGAATATTGTTAACTACTATTTGAGGAGTTGGACTAATTGCAATTATACCTCCACTACTACCACCACCGCGCTTATTCTGTATTGGTGATCGATTGACCAAGTTTGTCTTTTTTTGTTGCGAATTGGTGTTAGTCAAGTTGATAGGGGTGGCTGTGGAATTTGTTGCTGTCACCAACATTTCTGGGTGTTGCTGATTTACCGGAATTTTGCCCGACATGAAATCGTCAACATGGACTGACGGTGGTCTACTAGTATTTGCTTTTCGATTATTATGAATACTTCGAAACTCGTTCTTCTGATATGTTTTCCCACCACCTAAATTCCTACGTGCATTACTCTCATATGCAACACCACCAAGTTTACTTAATGTACGCGTTTTCAAGAGTTTTCTATTTTTAGATGCATCATCACTAGACATCTTCAATTTCTTGTGATATTGGAAGTTAGGTAATATCTCCTTGGAAAATAGTTCGAAATCTATTTCAGTACTTTGTGTTGTATTAAATAGCTCATCGATAATATCTTTAAATTCAGAGTCGTCATCGTCATTTACTATATCATAATAAGGTATTTTTAGAAATTTATCTAAAATAATAATAATAATTGTTATTATTATTAGTCATTAATATTTTTATAATAATTTAATAATAATCATTAAAGCAAATAAAAACTTACTTATTATTCCTAATGAATCATAATTGTAATTATTGTTTTTACTGCTACTGCTGCCAATTTGTAGAATATCCAATAACAATCTTTGCGAAGTAGTATTGTTAGTAATAGTAGTGGCAGTGTTTGATGCATCATCATTTTGGTCTTCTACTAACATAACATCGTCTACTTTTCCATAGAATGAGTTAAATAACAATGATTTCCCCGAGGGATATTTACACAAATAAGTCATAAGACTCAACCATCTACCCAATATTTCTTGATTCAATTCTATTTCTGATATGATAATCGTGATATTTTCATCATTCATTTCATCACTATTATTAATAGCGTTACCATTAACATTAACGTTAAAATTATTACTACTAATATGAGGATCAGGATCAGGATTAGGATTAGTAGCCACTTTTAAGTTTTCCATTTTTTCATTTAAAGAAATATGTTTCAGGGATGATTCACGAACTCCATTGATTATAATGGCTATTATACCTCTAGCTAATCCAAAATCATGAATGTCTATACAAACAATTTGTGCAGTGATTTTTCGGATTATGCTATGAATAAGTTTGGAGCTTGCAGGTATTAAACTTTTGACAAGCTGTATAAATTCATCACGTAATGGAACTAGCTGTTTTGTCCAATATTCACGAATCAATACTTCTTCATCATTTTCGTCTGGTTTTTTATTTTTTAGTGGTGGTGTTGGTTGTTGTTGTTGTTGTTGTTGTTGTTGTTGTTGTGTGTTATCGTCATCACCATCACTATCAATAAATAAAGTTTTTGTTGGTTTGGGGAATGT